AATGTGTGAAGCTTTGGTTCCACCCTCAGGACTCAGCACTGGAGAGCAACTGTGGGAATCCCAGAGTTTAGGATTGAGTACCTATGTCCAGAGACTTCAGGGAGACAGAATCTGTAACTGTTTCTCAATTTACTTGCTTGGTCTTTGTAGGTAGTTTTAACATCAGTACAGCCTTCTTCCCATTATTATTCCCAGATGCATACTGGATAGTTTTCAGAGCTTTATTTTACTGAAATTGACAGGTCATGTTGGCATCCTGGTGGCATTTAGAACCAGAGCTCCTCACCTTTAATTCTGGCTCTCCTGTTTCGGTCTGTGTGTTTTTACATGGTTCCGTTATTCTCTTCTACCCCTCAGTTTCTTTATCTGTAAAATGAAATTCCTCAGTGTCTGTAGAGTAGTCAAAAGCATGCCTGACGCAAAGTAAGAGTTACTGCGTGTTCATTATTGTTGCTGTTACTTTGGTTGGCATTTGAAAAAATGTATGTGTATTGAAAGAAACCATTTTTAGCCATATCCCTCATCATGATTTCCAACTTTATTATCTATCTGTAATGTGAAGTGTTATCAGATGTTCCCTACATTGCAGAGGGTTCTACTGTATTTTAAACTGAGCCTCTTACTACATTCTGGGGACTAGCATTCTATACTTCCTCTGTTAGATTAAGGGACAGTCACAATTTTAAACATTTTCGCTTTTTCCCTAACTTTCCTGTTGTTATTTGATACTGTACATAGGTCACCCCTTAAAAGAATTCTCTGTGTTACTGACTTAGTTTCTTAGAGATGTAAACATCCTAAGGAATAAGAGGTCATAAATTCTGTACCCTGGGTGGAATGATAATCCTTTGTCCAAGCTTCCCATCATTTCCCACAGCACACATGGCACATGGTAAATTCTGTGGCACCTGGTGGCTCATGACTGGGTAAGCATCATGCCCACCCTTCAGATGGCCTGTGACCTCCGAGGGCCTGCAGCAGAGGCCCTCAGGTGCTGCTGTGCCGTCGCCAGGCGCCCGTTCACACAGCTTGCAAAGACCTCTCAACAGTTCCCTCTTTTGTAAAAGGCTTTTAGTAGGTTGCCCATGCGGTCCCTGAGCCGTGGATCTCAAGGGCCCCTCCTGCCTCAGCCTTGTTAATTAGTGGTACTACAGGTATGCATTACTATGCCTGGTGCAAAATTTCTGATTCTCCAAGTCTTGGGTTTGGCCTGAGAACCTGTGTCTTGACAGATCTGAGGATCTCTCCTTTCGTGCGTCACTGCCCTAGCATGCTGGGTAGAACAGTGGCCTTCTGGGTCTGTTGGTGTTGGCATCCCCTGAGGCCGCTATACACTATACATACAGTAAGAGGGACTTGGCAGATGTGATTCGGGTAGGGCCATGGGTGGCCAAAGGCCATGTAGGTGAGCTCACTATCATTACAGGTCCTTAAAGTGAAGGGAGGAGGCCTAGAAGGCAGGAGCCAGAGGAGGGCGTCACTGTGGAGTAATGGCCAGGCCAGGCAGGTTGCAGAGGTGGAAGGGGAGCGGCCGTGAGCCAAGCAAATGGTGGACCTTGTCCACCACCTCCAGAAGGACTGGAGCCTGGCCGATGCCTGAATATCAGCCTGGAGACCCCCTTACCAGACTTCTGGTGAGAGATTCTACGTCTGTGTTCTAAGCAGAGTTTATGGTCATTTGCTGTAGCAGCAGTAGAATACTAATTTATGAGAAGCTGTTTCTCAGTTTATTAGGTAGCTTTGTGCCAGGAATTCCAGATTTCATCATAACTTTAATTTATGAACCCAGAAAATCTTAGACAAGAGCTCCCTCATGTTTCTACCATCAAATTAAAGTGTTACCAGTATCTGAACCTTTTTTTCCTTCCCTCTTACATTGCAGGAAGTGTTCCAGCTTTTCTCAAAAGGCAGGCAGTCTACTTTTGTTTGATCTGTTTCTCTTTCCTTTTAAAACAAATGAAGACTTTCTATGTACTTGTACTCAAACATACACGCCTATTGTGTGGGCATGTGTGTGTGCCTGTGTAAACACTGCTAAGGGTCTAGCACCCCAGAGGTGAACCACTAATTTAGCCTCTTGGTTTAGTTTGTATTTGACTTCTATGAAATCTAAGAATGTAAGTAGAACGATATACTTCTACTCTTTTACATTTGTCCTTTCCATTGCCCTGCAATACACCAGTGTGTGAACATACCCCAGCTTACTCAGATTCCATAGAGTTGACATTTAGGTTGCTGATAAGTTTTGAGGAATTATGGATAAAGCTACGGTGACTGTTTTGTGCACGTGTCTTTTGGTAAACAGTGTTATGTATACATGTAAAGTGTCCCCCCACAGTCTCATGTACTCATAGCGGGCTGGCTAGAGAAGATGGATCGTTTGAGAGTGTGAGTTAGAAGAACCATTCTTACTCCTGGCTCCTCCCTCCTTTCTCCACTTCTTAGTTGCCAAGCATTGAGCAACTTTGTTCTTCCATGATCCTCTGCCGTGTCATCCACCAAAGCCATGAGCCAAGATGAACCCCTTCTTTAAGTTGCAGATGTTGGGTATGTGTCCCAGCCGTGAGAACATGACTAACCCAAACAAAAGCATCTTATTCTGTAGCATATGTATCTGGGTATGGTATGTTAGTATCATTTTCTGTTGCTAGGACAAAACTCTGCATCAAGTAAAAGGAAGGATTTGTTTTGGCTTACAGTTTCACAGGTTTCAGGCCATGGTCAGGGGACTCTAAGGTATGAGCTCATGGCAGACTCTTCCACTCCAGCTGCACCCTGCTTCCTCACAACACAGACAGCTACCCTGAGTGGGACTCCTGGTGCACTAGTCACCTTAGCTCTGGACACACCAGTAAGTGTAACAAGGAGACACAGCACTGCCTGTCTTCATAAGTGACTTGTAGATTTCCTTTTCAGCAGTAGTGGAGGACAGTAGTAGTTACTCCATTCCTTTCTTAGTTCTCTTTGCAGCCTGTGTTGGCTCTGTGGTAGTATCACTTAGTGTTTTTATTATGTGGGGGAGGTATCATTTTGAATATATTTTATTACAGGTGTGCTGGCAAAAATGTTTTCAAAACTCATTCCCTGAAAATACTTTTACTTGTGCTTCAGCTCTTGTATGTTTCCAGTGAGTACAGCAGTTTAGACTAGCAATTTCACCTTTAAAAGTGCCATTTCATCTTTTTTCCCTTCATTATTCCCTCAGTCTTCTCACTGAGTTACCTCTCCAGCTCTTCTCCGCATTTTTGGTTTTGAAACATTGTCTCACTAAGTGGCCAGGCTAGGCTTGACCTTGCAGTCCTCTGCTCAGCTCCCAGAGTGCTGGGATTTGCAGGTGTGCCACTACACCCAGCAGCCACCTTTGTAACAGACAGAATTATTTCTTTGACAATAAACTGACACTGTCTTCTGACCAATTTTTAACCTTTCACTGTTTTTTTTTTTTAGCAGTTTGACACTAGTATGCCTGTGTATGTTTGTTTCCTTGTTTGTTTTGCATTAAAATACCTTTTCAGTTTTTTGCTGAATTTCCGGAATTTGAGTTAATGTCTCGTGTCAGGTTTGGGAAGTCTCGAACCAGTATCTCTTCGGGATACCGCTTCCACCCTGCTCCTTTTCCCTTTCTTCTGCCTTGAGTCTCTGGAGCTACTTATCTCCTGCAGCATTTGCCTGTTCTACACGCCAGGGCCCACCTCTATTCTGCTTTCCTTTGCTCTTGGTGCCGCTGCTGGGGTCCTGAGGTGGAAGGGCACTCCTGTTACTCAGTACATTCTGAGAACTAGAGCTTGTGCCGAGAACAGAGGACCAAGCCCAGACAGATGTCTTATTCCTGTGTCACAGGATCAGGAGGGGTATTCAGGGATGGTGGTGGCAGAAACAAGCATTTACTGGTCAGTGTCCCCTGAGGAGCAGACCATGGGACTGACTCTTCCATTTGTGGAGGAGAATTAGGGAAGATGGGGTTGGAATAGAGAGTAAAAGGGAGCCCTCTGTCCAGGACCCAGGCTTGACCCAGTACAGAGCCAAGGGTTACAGGAGCAGGGCAGTCACATGGGAGGCTATGAACCAAAAGGTTCAGTACCTGGACTCTACCATTTACCAGCTCCCTAATGCCGAGTACGTTAGTGTTGTCAGGCTTTGCATCTACAAATTGAGAGTATTGTATGCAAGCCTGGCCTGTTGCAAGTATTGAGCAAATGTTACATATTATTGTCAATGTATTGTAATAAGCTTAATTTGAGTGTTTAGTAGCCTGGATATTAGTTGAGAAATGCTTTACAATTATAAGAGGTAAATTGAAAGGAAGGTACAGATACTAGGAATATTTTAGATAAATGAGATTAATATTTTAAATTTATATAACTAAAATACTTAGTGCTGTTTTATAGTATATTTCTTGTATCCATTATTAGATCAATACTGTAGTTATTAAATGACTGAATGTAACAATTTACAGAACACTTTGACATATGTTAAAGTTGATTCTTGGGGCCATTTTATGAGATATTATTTCCATTTCATTAGGCTTCAGAATGGTTAATCTATTAAAGATTACACAAGTTAATAAAAGAACCAATTTAAAATGAATCTGTACACCTAGTAGTTTCTCTCTCAGCTCATATTACATGACAAGAACTAATGTATTATAGGGAGAAAGGAAAAAAGATGAAAATATATTAGTACTTTGAAAGAGTTAATATCTTTCCTTAAGTGTCTATCTTAATGCCAAGAAATAAGTAATATGGAAAGGGCCAGACAAGTTCAGAATCTACTAGTTATCTAGTGTATAGATAAGCTCAGTGACATTGGAAAAGAATCTGGTAGAACGAAACAGTCGGCTAGAACTTGCTATGTGTCCATAGCAGAAATGAAAGTGAGGTTTTATTCTCTGTGCCAAATTGTGTTAGACACTTTGTGCATTCTGGGTGATAGTAGTATAGGGGGCTGGCCACACATGTTTTCAAATGGTGCTGATCAGGAAACTTTGGAATTTCCACCAGGCCAGTGGTAGTGGCGTCTACGTAGAACAATGCTTCGCGGTGTTCTGGGGAAGACCTTCCGACTCCTTGGCTACACCATTCAGTATGGCTGCATAGCCCACTGTACTTTTGAGTACATTGGTGGGGTTGTGATGGTAAGTTTTTGTATTGAAGAGTATTTATTGTAAGTGTATATGCTGTTTTTAAATGGAAAGAAAATATGCTGTTCTTTCATTTTAGTCCAAGTTATTAAAGAATAAAGTGTAAAAGAAGACAAAATCTTTCTAAGTGTTGGGATTGAAGAGCGAATGCATTGGCACTGCTGTGAGAGTCTTGTCTTTAAATATGATCTGTGTTCTGTTTGTAACAGGAATCATAACTTGTGTTAATAGGCCGGTAATAGTTACATATACTGAATGTTGTTATTTATGGTCTCCAGGAAATGGTTGACATTATACACTTACTAAGTCATTTAGTCTTTCATACTTCTGTGAGATAATAAACCAATCTATTATGCAAATGAGGAAGCAGGGTCAGAAAGCTTAAGTAACTTGTTCCAGGTCCCATAATTAAGCAGCAGATAAGGAATTTTCAATACAAATCTGTCTGATTTCCCAAACTATCACTCATAACCACTGAATTTAGCTCCTTAAATAATTACTTTGTCGTGTCAGTGTTAAAATGTTAAAGCTAGCCTTTCAAATCTCCAACCCGTACTTGTAGTGTTACATCATGAACCTGCCAATGCTGACTATTCAGATCTTCATCATGTCAGTGAAAGAATATCTGCTTGATTAATTGACCAGCAAGAATTTGTCATTATTACTTTTGTATAGTTTATCTTAACAGATGAATGGTCATATAACTTTAAGATGTGCCTACGATAATACAAATATATTTAACTGAAACTTCCTTAATTTTTGAAAGTTACCTTGGCACTTACAGAAGTAACAAATTTTCACTGTATTCTTTGTTACTTTTGCCTGAGTGGAAAGTTTTGAGTGGAGTTTTATTTACAAATAAGTAGGGTAGCAAGAGACTGGTGTGTGTGTGATTTTCAGTGGCTTTGCTTATTTATCCCACTGTTGAGGGATATATCAAGATTACAGTCTTGAGACATACAAATATGAATGTTTTAAAATGCATAATTAGTAGTTTGAGTAGAAAACTTCGGTGGAAGCTGCATCTCCATTACAGTAGGGACTGACCAGCATTCTCCTGGAAGAGGAGCGTGGGCTGCTGTGCAGTGGGAATAGTGTGGCTCCGTTCAGCCCGCAGGCACGGGATGGTGTGTAACCACAGCAGGAAAGCAGTCTCCCATCCACTCAAGGGAAGTGTCGAGACTCAGTCTATGCCAGTTGCTGATCTCGGCCTTCATTATAGACCTGGGAGAATGAGATGCAGTCTCTCTGCTCATAGAGCCCCCTTCTACAGTGCGGCCATCATTTAGAAACGCCGATGAAGTTACCTTGTGTAAATATCAAAATGCCATTTCAGTAAACCTCTGGTGTGTCTCCAGGGAGGTAGCTATGCTGGAATCATCCCCCAAGCGGGAAGAACACTGGCTTGATTTTCCTGTAAGCTTCTCTTGATGACTTCTATTAAACTTAGGATTTGAACTCAAATTACAGAATTGCCTCTTTTTTCAGTGTTCTGGACCATCAATGGAGCCTACTATTCAAAATTCAGATATCGTCTTTGCAGAAAATCTCAGCCGACATTTTTATGGTATCCAAAGGTAACTTTCCATCTTAGATATATTCAGGTTACAAAGAAAATACACATGCATGTTGTGCTTTCTGTAGTACCTTCACCTTACCTTTTATTTTATTTTATTTTTTATTTTTTGATGCATTTGACAAGCAGGCACTTAAGCCCCTGAGCTAAACCCCAGCCTCCTCTTCATCTTACCTTTATTTATTTATTTATTTATTTTTTACCTCAACTTGTAAGAATGGATCATTTTACCTTTAAACACTTTGTAAGTCATCAAATTAATGGCCAACTAGATAAAATTTTGAGTCAAGTAGTTTGTCTGAGAAATTTGAAGTTTCCCTATGCATGTGCAATCTCTTGGGTCTCTTCCCTTGCGTTTCTATCCTAGTAAGCCATCTCTTTTTCACATGTAAGTGTAGTTCGCTATGTCACTGGTCCCTGAAGTATTCTGAGGAAGTTTAAAAGTATGTCACATATCTAGTAACTGTTCTGGGTAACTTTTAAATTATCCTGTAATTCGACTGCTGAGGACCTTAATTTTTTCAGTATAACCTGTGAAAACCCATTCAATGATTTTTAGTGTATGGCTTCATATAAAAGAGCAGCTGTGATTTTCAACTTCATTTATAGTTAATCTGTTCTAGCTTTCATCATAATAATGAATGTGACTGTCTCCAGCTATATTTAATTATGTTGTAGTTAAGTAGGTCCACGCATTTCTCTCTCACTAACCACCTTGGCCCTAGCCCATTTCTTATTGAAAAACCCTCAAGAATAACTTACACCTATTCCTCCTAATTACTGTTACTAGCCCTGAACCCTGCAGATGGAAACTCCTAAGCTCTATGTGCTAATATGATCCCTGTGAAATCATTCAGCTCTATTTCAAGAAACCTGATTACAGATATAGGGATTATAAATTAAAAATTATAAAACAGCTGTATTCTGGTTCTACTTTCTTTTTGACTTTGTCAAAAGAACCTTATGCAGTCTGGGGCCTAAGCCTCATTGTATCATGAAGACAAGTTTTCGTTACAAGGATTCTACGGTCTTAAAGCATCCTTAAAGGGCTGAAACTACTGGCTGAATAGTTCTTCAGTGACCAGCTCAGTGTCTTATTTTTATAACTAATGAACAGATTTGTTGAAGTTTCCATTTAAACTTATTGTTCTGAGGTTCTTTTGGTTATAGAAGAGCTCCAAGTCTGCATCCTATCAGACATAGCAGAGATAACTTTGAGCACTAAGGTTGCCAGTTAGTAACTTCTACTTTTAAGATATTACTGCTCTTGTTCTCTTATCTGCAGCAGAGAATGCTGAGATTTCAGGGGAATTTCTGGCCCCGCATGAGGTTCTATTGCTGGTGCCTATGTGTAAAGAAAGAAGAGCCTTCCATTTGGGCAGCAATGAAAGTCAGGGGTGTCTAATGCACATGGCTCTTTCCCATTGGCTATACAGACACAGCCCATGACACAGCCACAGCCTGTGTTTCTACTTATTCTTTCATCAGACAGCTAAGGAGCACCTCACTGATAGGAATCCTAGAGAATACACTGTAGAGAGTAAGATGAGTGTGGTACTGCTATTTCTTTTCTAAAGCATGCCACCAGTAGGCTAAGGTGCTTACAACTGCAAATAAAAAAGGAAATTTTAAGTAATAGGTCTGTTAGTTTCTTTGAAAACTTTTTGAAAGAGCTGAGAGGCAGAGATACATATTGTTCTAATCTTTATGTGTCTGGGTATACTACCAAAAATGCCACCTGCATTAATACTGCTACCTATAAAAAACAGCTTGGCTGAATGATGATTTGCATTGCATTTTAAGTGCACAGCTTCTAGGATCGTATCAGCACCTAAACACCATAAGACACCCATGGAACAGTTCCTTCTTCCAGTGCTACTCCAAATCAACTTTGATGGTGTGTTCAAATCTTTGCCCTTGTCCTCTGAACAGTTCCACTGGCATGGCTGGGAATAGAAGAGTTTATCCTGTCTTCAAGAAAGACAATATTATTTTGCCACCAAATTACAGAATTGAATGATTTGGTACCATGCTGCTTGTGCCAAGAATAATCTCAAGATATGGTTGTCGTGAACAGTGTTTCTGTGGTTTCCCTGACATTTCTGAGGAAGGCAATGTCTTTTATTCCCCAGCATAAGAATCCTTTGTGTGAAGTTTTGCCTTATATCTTGCTGAACTTTATTGTATTAATTAATGATTGCTATATAATCTAAGTTTCTTTTGACTTGGCTACCAAAAAGCTTAGCATTCTTTATAATACTAGTAATGTAGCAATAATTAAATTTCTGATTTGTCATCTACAGGTTTTGATATTATTTTGATGTATATGCTTTTATTATAAATGACATCAAATTATCTCTGAATCTAGGAACAAGCAATAAATATATTAAGTTTTTTTCTTTTTTTTCCATGGTTCTGGGGTTGAACCCATGATCTTCACACTAAGGTACATCCCCTCTCACCCCTCCTTTGTGAGAAGGGTCCTACCCAGTTGTGCAGGCCAGACTGGACCTTGGGATCCTTCTGCCTCAGTTTCCTAGTATGCCCTGCCCCACTCAGCTTTAGTTCTTTTAAACGTGTCTGTGTGTTAATTAACAGTTCATGTGCTGCTTACCTGATGCAGAAAGAGCACTGTGCTCCGCGGGGCCATGAGTCCTGCGTTCTGTCTCCTTTTTTCTTTCCACTTTTCAAAATCTTTCTTATCCTGTTACTATGTAAATTATTATTACTTTCAGGAATCAGGCTTTCCCTGTGGAATGAGACCTATAATGATTTTATGTGTTTGATATCACATTTTATTTTTTACCTTGTTTACTCAACTCTTATTTTATTTGGTTGTATTTTTAAAAATTTTTTCCTGTAGCCAGGCATGGTGGCACCCACCTGCAATCCCAGCATTTGGGAGGCGGAGGCAGGAGGATCACCGTGAGTTCGAGTCCAGCTTGGGCTACATAAGCAACTTCAAGGTCAACCTGCACCTCATAATGATACCTTGCCTCAAAAAAGTAAATAAATAAAGTTTTTAAAAAGTAAATGTTTCCCTTGGGCCAGGGATGTAGCTCAGTGGCACAGCACATGCCTGGCAAGCTTGAGGTCCTGAGTTTGATTCCCAGCACCAAAAAAAAAAAAAAAAAAAAAAAAAAAAAAAAAAAATGCATGTTTCCCTCAACTATTAAGTTCCTCTGGCTATACTGTTAACATATATATATGTAGGGCCAGGGATTTCGCTCAGCAGCATAAATGTCCTCCTGGCAAGTGCAAGATCACAAGTTTGATCCCTGGCACCAAAAAAACATAACACACATATATATCTATGTCTATAGATACATAGGTATATGTATATTATGACTTAAATGCCATTTCTCAGTTCTTTTAGTGCTGGGGAAACACAGGTGATGTTTCTTTTCAATGCTCTGGCATCCATCAATGCTGGCAGCAAACTTTATTTAACTTGGTGGCGTGGTGTGGATTTGGCTTTCCATCATTTTGGCTCTAAAATTTTGGTGACAGTAGTCACATACTGTGGATATGGCGAAGCTAATTTTTGTGGAACTATTTGAAAATTTAGCCTCTGCTAACATCATAAGAAATCATAGCTGGATTCTCCATCTTTCTCCTTGAATTCTGACCCAGCGCCGTCATCAGGGTTCCTGCAGCTGGAGATTTCTGAGGCTCAGAGTGAGAGGAGGAGGCCTTCCTGCGCTGCTGAGAGATGACGAAGCCAGCACCACATGTGTGTTCATAGCCGATCAGTAACACTGGTGTTTCTCTGACTTCCCCAGAGGTGACGTTGTGATTGCAAAAAGCCCGAGTGATCCAAAATCAAATATCTGTAAAAGAGTAATTGGTTTGGAAGGAGACAAAATCCTCACCACTAGTCCATCAGATTTCTTTAAAAGCCATAGTTATGTAAGTAATATTTCAGTTATGTTATTCCTTGCTATCATAGTTAACTAACATTGCCTGAATATATCAAGAAAACAATAATTTTTCTTTTGAATATAAGGAAAATGTTGTGTTCAGTATAATTTAATAAAACTGGCCATTACATGATGTATATTTTAGTTCCTGTGTAAATGTCAGTAATATTTGACACAGACAGTTTGCCAATGGATGCTAAATCACTGCACAGAAATTTGAGGAGAAACAGGTATTTTCACAGTTTCACTGTCTCTCTCCTGAGGTTTTATTACAAAGGGACACCATTCGCACAGTAGAGGAGAAACCTGCAGATGCCTACTCCAGACGAGGCAGGGTGACTTGCAGTGACAGGCACACAGGCCCGAGAGGGGCACGTCTTGAGGGATTTTCCCCAACCGTACCAGCCAACCATCCTCAGTCCACAGGTGTCATGAACAGCACTTCCCAACACTGTCTAGGTCATGAAAAGCAGCACAGGACGGCGAAGATGAGTCTGGATTCCAGCTTAGAAAGTGTCCTCTTCCACAGCAGTTGGAAATCCACAATCAATCAAAGTCTGCAGTTTAGTTTTTTAAAGCCTCTTGAACACCAGGCGTAATGGCACATGCCTGCAACCCCAGCACTCAAGAGGCTGAGGCAGGAGAATCATTGTGAGTTCAAGGCCTGCCTGGGCTACACAGTGAATTTAAGGCCAGTCCACACTACCCAATGAGAGTCTGTCTCAAACAGCTCTCCCAACCGAACAAATCTTGAAAATGTTTAAAATAAAAATGCCATGTAATGAGCTGGGCTGCACAAGCAGAAAGTGCAGAGAAGGTAGAACAGAAGGGCTGCGGCTATCAGTGCTGCTCTTCTCCGGTGGGTGGCAGGGCAGTGGTGACAGCTCCAGGGGGCTATGGCCTATTCACTCGGTCTGTACCCTGCTGGCTTTAGTAGTTACCACTTAATTGTCTACTCACTCAAATTAATACAGCTGTTACATTCCTTACCTGGCCTCACCTCTGCTCATCCCTAAGGTAAAATTGTCTTCTGTATTGCAAGTTCCTTTAGATCTGCGGATCCGTGATCACCTCGGGAGTGAGTCTTACCTGCTGTGCAGGTGGTTCAGTAATCTGGGGCTCGCTGCCATATTCGGGGGACCCAGGCACCCACCAGGGCTCCTGGTGGCAGGGGGCATTGCTCTGTGCAGGGGTCCTCAGCTGTCCGTGCTCACCCAGGAGCCGGGCCATGTAGCTCTCCTCCTGTCTGGTAGGGCCGGGTTTCTCTGAGCAGCTTAGTGACAGCGTGTCCTGAGGCCGAAGGGAGCTCCACGGGGCCACAGTAGGGCCCCTGCCTGGCCTGCCGTCCTAGCCCCACTGTGCGCGTGGAAGGGTTGTTGGCTGTGGAGGAGTCACAGAGCAGTGCCAGCAGCACACAGTCTTAGTGCTGAGTAGCCGGAACAGATAACCAGAGAACCATGACATGCATCGTGTGTCTCTGTGTTCTGATCTCCTGGCAAGCGTGTCCGTCTGTCCCCCCCCTCCCCCATCCACGCACGCGTCTAGGACCCAGGCTGGTCCTCTGAGTACACGCTGCTGGGTGCTGGCAGACCTGGGTGACTGGCCGCAGGGCTGCAGCTCTACAGATTACAGCTGTGGCCCTGTAAGACAGGGGCACAGGGTTTGCCCACTAGGAAAACAGGGAAGTCACGTCAGTTAAGTCACCAGTGGGACCCAGTGGTTGGGGGCCGCAGCCGGCTCTACACTGCTCTCCACAAGGACTTTGACTTCCCGCCTCTTCCAGCTGGGGCTCCCTGAAAACCTTGTTGAGGTTCTTGTTGCTTTAGGAGTGATGAGCAGCTGCTTCTGACGAGAACCAGAATTGACTGTGCCAGGGAAACCAGCGTTGTTGAGGGTTTCTCCTCCTTGCCAGTTTTCTCAGCCATGTTATTCAACAATGAGAACTGTACAGCTATTATAAAACCATGCGTTCCCGAATGTTCTGTTACTTGGTGCCTTGTAACAGAGCCGGTCTAGTTGGATGCATGTAGCTCTGCGAGGCCGTACCCTCAAAGCTTGCCAGCAGGGCGTGGCACCTCCTCTGCCTCCTCTGGGAAAGCTGCTGTTGTCCACAACAGGAGGACGCTGGCCTGCACAGTAACGATCATCCTCATGGAAGGTGTTTCACGTTCCAGGCCAAAGACATTTACTCCCATGCGTGCGTGCATGTGTGTGCAGTTAGTAGAGCACCTTATCCTTTGGAGCCTCGAACCTAGAGTTTAGCACAGGAGAGAAAAGGCATGACTCGCAAGCTAGCCTAAAAAGTTGTCACCGGTTCACTGGTTAAGTCATGGGGAATCAGTGTGCTCATTACAGTCTAAGTCTACAAGGAACACAACCTCGCTAAGTAGATTCTTCCACCAGGTATTTGGAAACTGAGAAGCCCCTATTTGGAAATGAGAAGCCCCTGCTACTTCGGGACTTTTGCTTCCTTTGATGTTCCTACCTAAGGCAGGTAATTCTTCCCTCAGTTTTTGGACCACACATTGACTACTAGAATAAGAGTTACACTGGTGACTCAGAAAAAATTACAATGAGCTCAAACATCTCAAAGATCTTGCATTTGTGCACATCCTACTGAAATGCCTCAGTGGACTGCTGGATGTCACTACTTTATCAAAAACAAAGATTTAAGTAGGAGCCCTGCATAGCAGAGCATAATGTGAACCGGTGTTCTCCTGTTGGCTTGCACAGCCCACAGAATGCGGACTGAAACCTGTTTTATTTACGGCCATCGTCTTTGGGAATACAGCACCCCAGGGCCTAGCCAGCCGAGTGCCACTTGGTGATAAAGTTAATGAGAAAAAGGAGACAGCTCTTCCCTGTCTGTCTTCCTTTGTTTGTTTGTTTGTTACTGGGGCTTGAGTGCAGGACACCTTGGCCCTGAGCTGCATCATTTGTGTCACCCTGCTGGCTCCTTCATCTTTGTAAGGATGACACTATGTTAGGCCATGCTGTGGTTCGATCCCAGCATAATGCTGGGATGCTCAGGCACTTTGAAGTGTGGCTGGCCGGTCAGCAGACTGCCATGATAAGGTGTGTGATATCCCAGCGAGCTGAGCTGCCCAGCGTCTCTACAGCCCTTTCTGAGCAGGTGTTGGTCCCCAGCGCTCCATGTAACCCGTGCCCGTCCAAGTCTTGGTTATCCCTCTAGTCCTCACTGTGTCGTGAGTGTTGGAAATAATTGCTCATCAGGCCCAGGGTCCCTTGGTGTCAGGACATTGCTGTCCCTGGTTTTTTTCCTATGTACCACCTGCTTCTCCTGAGTTTCCAGAGTTGGCCTCGCCTGAAGGAGGAAGGGTTCCTGGTTTAAACTTCCTGTTTCTATCCACGTACACTGTGCTTCCTCTCATGTTTCACAACCACCTCAATTCTTTTTCCTCATTCCAGAAGCACATGTCTAACTTTTAATTTAACAGCTCCAGGAGTGTTTGTGTGCTAAACAAAATCCCTGTTTTCCTTGCTACATAGACTCCTCCCGCGTCCTTCCCAATGCTAGGAAAGGCAAGCACGTTCCTCAGCTCAGAATTACCCTTCCTCTCCTCCTCTGTGGGCTGCGTGCAGCCCAGGAGCGATCCTGAGTGCGCCCACTGCACACAGTCAGCGGTGCACTGTGCTTGCGGAGCCTAGTCTTTCCTTCTGGCAGTGGCTCCCTTTCCCACAGTGACTGCGTTTCGTTTCCTGCAGTGACTCCTGCCCCTGCCCCACCCTCAGTGACCCCTCCCCTGACCCGCCCCACGTGGCCCCTCCTCCCGCCCCCCCAGTGACTCCTCCCTAACCCCCCCACCCTGCAGTGACCCCTCCCCCTGCCCCTTCCCATAGTGTCTGCCATCTTATCTTGCTCTTCTCCGATCCTCTCACCTCTTATGCCACCCTGTCCACGCAAAGGGACCTTTGTAGCAGCCGATGTGTCAGTTTGTTCTGGCTTCCCCAGAGGCTTTCCTGTCAGTTGTCAGGAAAGCAGCAGGCTTTTCATTGGCCCACCGAATCCCATGCAGCAGCCCAGGTGGCCTTGAACTCATGATGGGGCTGGCCTGGACCTCCCCCATCCTCCTGCCTGGGGACAGCATAGACTCCAGTGCTATGCACAGAATGTGAGATGGTCACCAGACAGTAGTCTGTTACCAGTGCAGGTGAATAAAGAATACAGTGTTGCTCACATTTTCCATGGGGAATCACAAAGTATGTTAATTATTGGCAGAAATGTGAGAAACTGATATGGTTTTACATTTCAGAAAGAAACGCTTGACTGAGCTCTGATGCGCTGGTGATATAATGCTGTCTTAGTTACTTTTTACTTGTCGCTGAGACAAAATACCTGAAGCCCAAAGTTGGGAAAGGAAAGGTTTATTTCTTACAGTTTTTGGAGGTTTCAGTCCACACTCAATTGGCTCTAAGGCAGGCGGGCATGGCTGGGCCACAGTTCATGGCGCTGCAAACAGGAGCCAGCAAAGAGCAAAACATGCCTTTCTTCCTGCCTTTACATCACATCCTGGCTCCAACCCTTTGTGGGTGGAGCACTGACACCATCAATCCAAGCACTAGGCAATGAACCAATCACAAATGCACAATGCAAACTCATGAGGCCTGGGGGCCACAGACATAAACCATGACAAGTGCTATTAAGAGAGATCCTGGAAATGCAATAATGTTAGTAATACAGCTGTTTTATATTCATTTATTAGACAATGCTTTAATAAAACACAACCCTAACAAGCTCACTAATTACACAGCATTAGCAACCACTTTTTAGATGTAAAACTAACAGTTCTTTAATGTGTACTGTGTATGTAGGTGCCGTTCAGATCCCTTGATACCCTGCTGCTGTTTTTCAGTTTAAGTTGCATTTATCATAGGTAGAACTTGCAGCCATCTGGCTTCTGCTACCACTTCTATTATAAACAGAAGTGATACTTTCAGTTTGAAAGGGCATTTTCAGGGTAAGCTTCTGAAACTCTAATCTTCCTGTCACTTAGGCAGAAGAACTGCCTAATGTCACTTATTAGGATTTGGGTATCCAAGCAAGGGGCCAGCTTTTTGCAGGCTCCAGTGATAAAACCCTTCAGTCCATTTCCATTTCTCATCGATGGCTGGATAATAACCTTGGTTGAGACTCCTAAGGTGGAAGTGTGTTTGCCCTGCAGCTGGACGAAGCTCCCTGCCCTATTCCTCCTGTAGCCACGGTGGCTCTGAAGCTGAATTGAGGGCCTGCTAATGGGTGACACTGTTGCCCTCCAGAAGGGAGTGCTGCGGTGGCACTTACTGGGTAGCCTCATCTTTGGCAGTTCCTCAGTTCTCAGAGCATTCTTTGGCCATGACCTGCTGTGAATGTGTGTAGCACTCCCCTGATGAAGGGCTCCAGGGTGCTGGGAGGGGCTGGGCACAGCTCTGTACCTCTGGAACTGGCATAGCTCCCTAGGCACTCCCCTGATGGGTTGTGCTGGGATTGTGGGCTGATCAGGATCCTCTGAGACCTACAGGACTGGCTGGGATGCATTGTGCTGGTCTGGGTGGAGCTCAGAACCACCAGGGCCTTGTGCTGGCCAGGGTAGAGCTAGAAACCTCCAGGACTCACAAGACTGGCCAGGAAGCACTGCTGAAGTATGGCATTGAGGTCTCGCACTGGGCTGGGCAGAGCTAGAAACCTCCAGGACCTTCGGAACAGGGTGGGGTGCACCCCCAAAGTGGCACCAGGGCCTTGTGCTGGGCTTGGCAGAGCTCAGAACCTCCAGGACAGGTGCATTTGGCCAGGGCACTCTGCCAATGGAAGGCTCTGATTTCAATCCCCAGTACAAAACAGGAAAAAAATGTGTTAATGTTCATCTCTTACACCATCCCTGAGGACACATCCCCCAAAATAAAATAATTAAGTGCAAAAATCTGAAACAAAAGAGGTCTCCCATGACTGAAAATCTAAGAGTCATAAAAGCAAAGACTGATAAGAGAAGTGACAGATGTGTATTGCCATCTTTATCTCAAAGGGCTGATCTCCATCTTTTTTTAACCTTTAATTTTAAAGAGAATAAAACAAAAGAGAACAGAACAAAGCAAATCAGAACAGAACAATGCAAGCAACACAGCACTTCACAAGACAACTGGTCATCAACAGTAGCTACCATAATGTCTCTTTTCTTTGAAATAGTTGAGCACACACATTAATATCAAACATCCATTTTTAAAGAACAGCTGTGAAATGAGAAAAGATCAACTCAGTAAAGAGAGGGCAAAGGCCTCACATTGAGAGGTCCCAGTAGGAACACCCATGGGGTGCACTCATGGGGGGATGGGAGCTAGGGACTGAATTCAGGGCTTCCCACCTGCTAAGCATGAGGTGCTGGCCCACCAACCTAAGTCCTAGCCCTTATTTATGAATTTTCCATTGGAGAGAGAGTTATCCAGGCAAGCCTGGACCTTCAGTCCTCCTGCTCAGCCTCAGAGGTAGTGAGGATTACTAACTTGTGTTACTGTGTCCAACTAATTTAGTTTCTAAATGCATGAAGCAGGAAATTGCCTCATCGTAAGATGAAAGCAAATGCACAAACTATTGTTTGTTTAATTGTACAGTTGCACTGACAGTTAAAACCTTCTGCTTAATCTATCATAACGTAAACAGACTGACGCAAAAGCCAAGCAAGTACATGAGAATCTGTGGAGCTAGCCAGGCCAGCTTTCCAGGGGAAGTGGGTTGGCAGCCTGTTCAGAGAAAGCGGGAGTGGAAGTGTGAGCGCCCCAGGCTGCAGCCAGCCAGTGGACTGACACTCCCCACCTGGTGAGGCGCTGCCATCCTAGACTGTGGTTTGCTTTGCTTTCTGTTAGTGTTCCTTACCGCCTATTTCTAAAACTCGGGAACAGACACATTTTGGGAAATGATGAAAACATAAACATAAAATCTTCACCTTACAGCTTCTCCCCAAGCAGTTCTCCACATGTGCTACTTATCCCTGGCTTTTCCAAGTTTGGTGTTCTCTTTTCATTCATTTCTTTATGCCCCAACACATACTTGTTTCTCTCCTGACAGACTTCTACTTCATTGCACAGAAGTCTCTCATTACACTGGAATGAACTAACCTTGCTGCTGGCCCAGGATCTGTAACGTACTGCACCAATAAAAATGAGTGATCTCACATCCATGATACATTTCTTTCTCACTCGCACCCTTTGTATTTAGTTCCTTAGGCACCAGGGTTTAATTAAGTCAGAGCCTTCCCACTGAGCTGACCCTCAGACCTTACTTTGTACTATGGCACAAGGTCTGACTTGCTGAACGCCCGTGAGGGGCTGCACTTGAAATCTGCTCCATCTCCCGGATGCTGGGACGGCACCTGTGTACTTGCCTCTTGATATTCTTTCAGTGAACGTCCACCCTTTTTCCATAAAATAGATTTAACGTTTTCTATAAATAGATTTAACATTTAAGTACCTCTAAATGCAAAGAATTAACCAGAATCATCATGTTGAATTTAAAATTTTATAAGCTTGCATCAATTTGTTTTTCAAGAAGGTAATTTGTCACATAAAAGAAAATGTCATTGTCTGTTAAAGCCTATTGAACAGAATGAAAATAAATTTCTTCCCAGTAGATCAATTTTGTCTAGTCAGTAACTCAACTTTCTCAGGTAACAAGCTGTAAAACAAAAACCCAAGAAGAGCAGTGTTTACATGTTGCTAGAGAGTCATCTCTGAGCTCACATGGCTGGAACAGACAGGAGCAGGCAAGAGGCTCAGATGGCAGAAGGCATTTCTCAGAGTAATGTTTTGTCCTAAATATGATGGTCAATGTGTAAGGATTTAAGCATGTTTACCAGTTAACATACAGGCCATATGAGATAGGGCCTGTCCACCCAGGAAGGTCACCATCATTAATTTTATAACTGATGATTTTATAATGGGCCCTTGTGATTCTAGATGGTCATTATCAACATAGAATGCAGGAAGATTTGGCCTGCACAAAGGCAGAGCAGGCTCTTAATGAGAACCCTGACAAGCCCCTCTAGAGTGATGAGATTGTGTGTAATTGGTGTCAGGGTCAATTACCATCCAGTTCATCATGAACATGGAGGAGGGCTGGCCCTGGAGCTGGCCCCAGGATGTGGAGTGGCTGCCCTGCATACGCTGTTGCAGAGACAGGAGGGCACATTTCCGGTCAGCATCCTCATGACCTCTTTTGAAGTCTATTAAATTAATGGCTCTGTCATACCACGTTGATCTCATACAACCTCAGTTTGGGAATGGTATACCAAGTGTTTGGACCTGTATGGTAAAGGGTGAGTCCTTAAACACTTAGAATCCTTTATATCCAGTAAGCTTTTTATTGTGAATGAAATGAAAACTAAACTGCCTATCTTAGGGTGTATGTGTATTTTAAGACAAGCTTTGTGGCAGCAGTACCCCAGTCTTCCTGTTTTAAAAGGGCCTTTTCCCCTCTCCTTGTAGGTGCCCAGGGGTCATGTCTGGTTAGAAGGTGACAATCTACAGAACTCTACAGATTCCAGGTACTATGGACCCATCCCTTACGGACTAATAAGAGGACGCATCTTCTTTAAGGTACAGTTTGCTTGCAATGCTGGCTTTACGCTCAGAACTGAGGAAACACGTTTTCCTCAGTACCTGTGCAGACTGCAAGCCAGCGGCACTCCGGCCACAGCACCCACGCTCCGTGCACGCTTTAGCCTTCGCCCTCTTGCCCACAGAGTGGGGAATGGAGAAGAGACTTTTATAATAAAATGCCCATTCCTTGGCTGTAGCCTAAGGAAACTTACACTTAAGTCCCCGTGGCCTGCTGGCACCATTCCAGAATATGCAGATGCACGTGTGCCTGAGAACAGCCTTGGGTGGCAGCATGGGGGGCGGTGTACGAAGGTGGCCGCCCTCTGCCCAGTCTCCTGCAGCAAGGGCGACCAACACGGCTGGTTGCAGCAGTGGGCTAAGCTCATGCTGAACCTCCAGCATCTTAGGTCGGGGGCTTCACACTACCTGCAGGACACACACATCCACACGTGTGTGTCCACACCCCACACATGCATTCCTGCGTGTTCGAAGGTTCCAAACTCAACAGCTGAAACACACAAACAAGTGTTCTCCCAACGTCTGAGGCAGGACTTCTCCTGGCCCACGAGCAAAGAGCAGTGTTGCTGCTCGCAGAGCAGGAGTGAGGAGGAGGAGCAGGAGGAGGAAGAAAGGAGGAGGAGGAGGGATTGAGGCAAGGATGCAGCAGCTCTCACTGACTGTCTCCACCTGCTGTGGGTTTTCTAGGTCTGGCCTCTCAGTGACTGTGGGTTTCTGCGCAGCAGCCCCAATGGCCACCGCTTTTCCGATGACTGACAAGCATCCCTTCCTCCGACTTGCTGGGCATCTGCCGGGCCACTGGACTGCAGCCATATGCCTACCTTACCAATAAATGATTGCCACATACTTTGCTTTCTAACTTCTTAAAGAACAGCCAACACACTCTGCAAGTTAGTTCAAAATACCGGGACAAAAATGTAAGGCAGACTGTTTTCCGTGTAAATTTCCATGTGATAAACACACGGGGAAGACAACCTGGAAGACTACCTCACCTTGCAAAGTCTGGCGTGATAGGTCCAACAAAGCAGAAGTGAAGGGCAGGTGCTTGTTCTGAACGCCCATTTTCACCCTGCACAGAAGCTGCTGTCAGCAGGGGCTCTGCCTGGCACCCCACAGGAGCCCAGTGAAGTGCAGACTGGGAGGACAGCCCCGCGCTGGGGCCACCTAGTGACTTCTGCCTCAACTCTGGGCACTCAGAATGGGATAGCATGCACCTCGGCTGTCAGACTTGGTGCATCCCAGCTGTGTTTCAAACACCTCAGGGTTCGAGCACTGAACACATTTTCGCCATAAAAAATAATGGAAAGCCAAATAATTGGTTCTGAAACCCAAAAATTACAAAATGCACATTATTGAGAGTATAATGCTCACATTTTAAGAACATTTTAATGAGGAGTTAATTTTGAGTTTTATTGTATTAAGTACTTCATAAGAAAAATTGTCAAAAAATAAAGTATTGAATTTTTATTAGTTTTTTTTAACCAAGCATCAAAACTTCTGTCAACTGGTTTTTGATGTGCAAAGTCTAAAAAAGAACAGAAATAAGTTCCTGTATGGAGTACAATAAAAATTCCAATAGACTTTACAAAAAAAAATTACTTCCGTTATCACACGGAAGGCAGTCTTCACACATGCCACCAGCAAGCTCTACACACTAACCATGGTGAGTTTTGTTTTCCTGACCTTTTTGAAGGATGTGCTTTATACCTTGCTGGTCTTACAGTTTTGTCAGGAGGTTCTTATCATATGTAATTAATAGGCACATAAAATACCAATAAAATAAAGTTTTTAAAAAAAACTTCACATGTATTGCACATTTAGAATAACATTTTCACACTGGCTGTGTACTTGCTTACAAACGTAAAATATAACATCAGAACTAGGAACCTGTGTGAACTACAGTGTAAATACAAACAGAAGCCTACCACAGAATCTTTGCTCCAATCGTCACATCTGAGACAGCCTTTGTACCTACAGCTGTGTGTTCCCCACACAATATCACACACACTGGTAGCACGTATGTTTTGTTTTCCTGCCCCTCCCTGTGGGGCACAGCTGACACCTTCCTGGTTTCTCTGTTGTTAGCAGGCGTTGCGATGCTGTTTACTGGTTGGCTCTCCAGTGTGCTCCACAGCTGCTTTGCAGAGTTCCTGGGCAGAAACATTTTATTTTTTCTCTGCTGTAAGAGTAGGAGCTCCAGTCCCAACCCTCTAAGAAAATTTCTCTATATTATTGTCTTTACAAACTATCAAACTATGCCACATAAGTTTCAGATCAAGTAAAACCACTATTGGCCTGTGGTTTGTCTTACAAGTGACATCATAACTGCTGCGTAACGCATTACTGCCATCTTGGTCTTTGATCTGGTTACAGAAAGTTACCATTCAGGCTTCTGTTCTGTCGACGTTTCCTTACCAGTATTTCCATACACAGGCAATGTAGACATCAGCAGTTTTTTCTTTGCCACATACAAGGCCAATATTATATCTTTCTGAAATTCAAAGATTATACTATACAATCCTGTTTTGAAATTAAAAATTTCCTTTGGAATTTTTGCTTTGTTCCTATGTACAGTTCCTGTGCTGGTCAACTCATGCTGTTAGCAAATGTGACGCCAACTGGGAAGTGGTAAACCAACTATGGAACAGCTCATTCCAATTTAGCTTGGGAGCACCAAGTCTATTCACAGTAAATCTGGTTTATTACTACATGAAGGACCACCTGTGGCTGCATTCTAGGATAAACTTCTAAATTGAAAGCATAGTAAGTCTTCACATCTACAAAAACCTAAGTTTCTATGCCATACATTGAAGGTTCTTTAAGAGCATAGTGCTGGGAGCGCCAGCAGCCACAAAATGCTGCAAGATGCTCGTCAGTGGCCATGTATTTAGATGGAATGCAGTGCTTGGCGGCGACCCACAAATCTTGCAAACCGTAAGCCAACAGCAGCCAGTTCTTTTTTCTTCTTGGGAGATGGTTTTTCCCATCAAAACTCGGGCAGTTTTGAAGGAAACCAAGTCTTCTCCAAGTCATCATTAATCTACAGCCCTCAAGCCTATAACCCACCACTTTTCCACAAGTCTTTTCCACGCCTGAGATTACCTGTGGAATGCCCCAGCAAAGACTACAGACCAGTGAATGCTTCTACTTCAGCCTGTGAGGTGTCGCAATTGTAATGAACACATTTTTTATATGGCTACTGATGCATAGTGTTTTACTTCTATTTCAGCATTTGTGTATTTTGTAACATCTTACAGCATTTCGTCTGTTACAATTTCCAACCCTGAAAGCAGTGCTGCCATCCCATCCAAGAAGTTTCAGCAGGTTTCACCCTGAAAAAAAGATCACTGTATTTTTGGACCTAGTTCTAAGGCTGGACTGTTGTCTGTGGTTGTGTGGCCATCTACTAGTCAAGCATGTGCTAACATTGCTGTCATCTTCATCATTGGCACCTCTGTCTCTGTATTGGTTGGTTCTTGCTCCATTTCACTGTCACAGGAACTTCGGCTCACAAGACCAGCATCAAAGTATCACCACCATCCATCTGCAGTGAGGCACAACCCGACTCATACTTGGCCTGTGCACGCTTTTCCAGGCGGAATTTCCAGCTAGCAAGCGAAGTTAGGAACACCAAGTAGATCTGTTTCAAACTTTCCTGTTAAAGTGGCAGAAAGTTTGAGCTTTGGAGCCATTCAACAAGCGAGGCCACACTGCACACAGAAATATGGGAGTGACACCACATGGCTGAAATCCCTTCATCGTTCCAGCAGTGACCGCACGGTCCCTTACTCTAATATTAACACAGGCACTAAGGGTCCCAGCTCAGGGTTCTGGAATAAGGGAGAGGAAGCAGCTGTTTCAAATTACTTCCCTGAGCTTCTGCTCCCTACTTTACACTTGAAGGGGGCAGTGTTCCCAGCTGTGGCTCCAAAGGCCCTCTCCCACCACTGCCTCCCCTTCCTACCCTCTGGGCCTCGTCCCAGGCTGCCCTCACCCAGCCTCCCTTGCTATTACAAGGCTTCTGACACCTGCAGGGCCTCCCAAGCCTGAACCTTGGGCCACCAAAGTGTCCCTCTCAGATCTGAACCCAAGTCATCTTTTTGTTTGTTTTTTTGTACTAGGGATTGAACTCACGACTATGTACTTGCAAGGCAAGCACTTATGTCACTGACTGAGCTAAATCCCGGCCCTAGAACCCAAGTCTCTGTGAAGGAGTCAAGAGTGCTGGAAAGAACAGGAGACATGCTCATTTCAAAAAAGATGATTCTTATTTTCCAAGGAGCAAACAAATGTTCTCAGCCATTAGTCCATAAGACGTGATTTATAACTGAAGGTTTTTCTTGGGCAGTCTGTAATATGAACTCTAAGTGCACTTCAGTGAAGTTCCTTTGCCATGGCTCCCTGGTGGCCCCTAGTAGGCTGAAGGCAGCCCTTCTCTGGAAGCTGAGGTCCCAGCTCAACTGTGGCGAAGGAGCTCTACCATCAGCGAGCATGTATCACAGGGAACCAGGCTCACAACTGCCGCCTCCTGCTCACAAACGCTGTACGTGCCACCACATCGGCAGCCCAGAGAGAAAGATCGATCACCTGCAAAGAACAAAAGAAAGCTTCAGATGCCTGCAAGCAACTACTCTGCTCACACCTTCCAAGCTGCAGGGTCACTCCAGAGGCTGCAAGGCTGGAGTACACAGCTCAGTAAAGGAGGCGTGGGCAGCTTGCACAGGTCCTGATCTGGAGGCGCCTCCACAGCACAGGTGGGGCTCGGAAGCTGCCGTGGAATCCCCTGGAAGCCACTGTCTCCCCACAACTTCGGTCCCAGCTTCATTCTCAGCAGGTGAGAACTCCAGGGAAAGGCTGCAGTGAGGGGAGGTCTGCCCGAAAGGCATGGTACCTGGCCTGGATCCCTCCTTCCGAGGGCAGCACCCCACTGGGAAGGAGCAGAGCAGCTGGCTGCTTTCTGCACGGTCCCATGGGAGCGCCACACGTCCCCCGCCTGCTGCTCACTCACACAGGACCAAGATGCCTCCAGGTGGGGAAGGAGGCGGCACCGGGGCCACTCACAGCCCAAGCCCCAGGCTCCAACGGAAGGATCCCCTCCACCTCCCACTCTTCCCACTCTGGGGGGAACATGTCAAAACTACTGTGATGCTCGGGACCACTGCATCTGTCACCACTATCGGAGTTCCCTATTACAGAGACACGAAGCGAGTCGCAAAGGGTGCCTGAGCTCTTGCAACCAAATCTGCATGGCATCCCTAACCTGATTAATGCCCCATCTCGACAGCCAGGAAGGGGGGGACTCTACCTGCCTTGCGCATGCTCGCTCTCAAGTCCAGTCTTGAAAAAGCTGGCACTTAAGTAGGCCAAGTGTACCTGCTTCTTTTATCAAAGAAAACAATGAATCCAGTCAGCCAGCGCTGCTCTGTGTCCTCCATGGAGGAAAATAACCTTGAATTCAGAAAGGCAAACAAACCGCTTCCTGTCTACCTGCTGCAGTACATTTTCAAAGAGAATTGTTTTACTGTTAAAATGTCTAAAAATATACATATTCTAACCATTGATTTTCCTAGGCTAAATCTCTCCCTTGTTTTCTTACCACCTCGATGAACAGTGAGAATAAATCCGAGGTGACATGTACTTAGTAAATGACACAGAGGACACATGGGTTACAGTGGATTTTGTCACTGATAATTCTGAATGTTAATGCTAAGAACTCAAATTCACATCTTGAGGCAATTTCTTCTTGCATTATTGCTACCTGGCTCTGACAAAGTGGTGTTTTCATAGGAATGGCCCATTTAAACAGGGCGGGAAGCCTCCGAGGAGTAACCTGGCCAGCGGTCCCCTTTCCTGCCAAGGTCATTCTGAAAGCAACCTGAAGGAACACAAACACGTTCCTTTTGTCCACTTCTGGTTTAACTTCATATGCTAAACTTGCTCTTTCCAACTGTGAACATTCAACTTTACAAGACTCGTCTCTAAATATTCCTGCCAGAACCATGGCTTCAAGTACTGTTGCTCCATTTTTTCTCTCAGGAAGATAAGGACACTCCCATCTTTCACGAGCCTAAAAGCCCTTAATTTAAATAAGGCTCGAAGATGCTCCGCACTTCTGCTCCAAGGGGAGCTGTGGAAGCCGGGGATGAAGCCCTGCTCGGACACCCTGCTGTTTCCTGCTGGCGACTTCCTTTGTGTGGGTGTTTTCACCTGGGGCAGAGGGTCTGTGTATTTACTGACTGAACAGATGCTTCAACTACCAGCCCATATTTTTAAATAAAAATTTAAAGCTATATATTGTTAACTGACTTCAACAATGGATTTTAAGCAATCCACTGTGTTGTGGCAGGTCTGTAATGAGCAGCCTGTCGTCGTGTGTCCTTTACAGGCACCCCCTCCAGTCCTCCCAGCAGGGCTCTTCCTGCTGACACTAAGAGACTGTCGCCACTGGGGACACCGGTCACACAAAACCCACTCTTCTCCATTACGCAACTGCAACAATAGTTTCTACTCAAGGATGCCTGCCACCTGTATGGATGAGGACAGAACAATCCCATAAGGAGAAGCATAATTTGCCTTCTAAGTGGCTGGCAACCCACTTTTTTAAAGCACTAAGAATTTACTATTAGCAAAGTACATGGTTTCAAGAAGCACAGCTCTGGGCTCTGTTCATCTCTTACCATCCATTCTCATTAGTAAGTATTTATAAGCCTTGAGGCTGAATAATAAAGTTACAGGAAATAGCACGATTTTCTTCCTCTGCCCAAGAGGCATGGAAGTGAGCTAGCCAGGGCTTCTGTTTACAGAGGGGTCGGCCCAGAGCAACTCAGAGAGCACCAGAGGGATGTAAAAATTAAACCTGATTCGTAAAGCTTTGAAAGGAAAAATGGCATAACCTCATGAAAAAGGGCAGACACAGACTCTCCTCTTTCTCCTAGGAGATCATCAAAAAGCGGGGGCAGGGGGTGTGTCAAGCCTCCCGGGAGAAAATCATAACATTAAATAGCCCTGGTCTGACAGTTTATGACTCCATATAAAAAGAAAATCAACCAAAAATTCTACTATGAATTCATCTCAATATCAACACAAAGATAAATGGGAAAAAATTATCTTTGACTTTTACTATACAGAGAGAGTAATGCAAAAATCAAAAAGTAGTAAAAACATATTTTAAAAAAGAACAGAAACTAACTTGAAAAGAGTCATACAGAGGGGTCATCAATAAATGCTGTTTAGGGGGCTGGAGGTTTAGCTCAGCGGCATAAGCGCCTGCCTTGCAAGCAGGCAGTCGTGAGTTCGATCCCTGGTACCGATAAAAAGGAAAAAGACCAAAAAAATAAAGAAAAATAAATAAAATAAGAAATAAATGCTGTTTAGAATCAAACAGACAAACCAAAGCATTTATGTGTGCAAAGCCTAAGTTACTGCCTTTTCAAGATTTCCCAACATCCTGTGGTTACTTTTTTCCTTATTAAAAAGATCTCTAATGTTTGTCTTCATTGTAAGTAAGACCAAAAGGAGAAAAAAATCCAACCTTCGTTCCAAGACATTTCTTCAAGATACACTTGTGCACCTACAGGTCCCACGCTCCTGAGCTTGTCTTCTGTAAAACAGAAAAGGAGAAGCGTCACTCTGCGAAGGATGGGGCACTCCAGCATGGCAGCCGCAGGTCTTCCTGCCTCTACTGTCCAACCCTCGGCCTTCTGTCCTGCCAGCAGTGTGAGGGCTACTGACTTCAAAGGACTAAGAACCTGGAGCAGTCAAACTGTCTGGTCTGGTCATTGTTTTGTAGCTTCTGCTTTGTGAGAGACTAGAGACATCGCTCAGATAAACTGCGCCTCAGGAAGAAGGCAGTGGGGCGCTGGGTGCCAACAGCCATCTGAAATGGGGAAAGACAGGGGTCACCTCGTCCTTCCTTCAGGATTAGGATTAGTGTGCTGCTGTGCTGGTCCCAGTGACCATCTGAAGACAGGATTTTTAGGAAGTACAGAAAAGGTCCCACTTCGAGGGGACTGGTGGCTTTCTAAGGACAGAGAGGAAGGCCTTCACTCAGGTCCAGCCCCAGGAGGCGGCGGGTGGGCTGTTCTCACCACAAAGATGGCTCAGTGCTCTGCAGAGCTGGCACTGCCCAATGGAAGAGGCTGCTATGGCCCTAACTGCCAGGGGCACAGGTCCCTTCCAGGGAGGGGTCAATGTTGCAAGCCTGTAACACAATGGCACTGTGTTGAGGCTCTGTGCTTCTGGAGGGAAAGTTTTCCCTGACACGGAAGTTCCGAAGGCACCTGGAATCCAACTAAACACAGCCAGCCGTGGCCTAGGCAGGAGAAACATACACTTCCTGCTTAAGACAAGCGTGGCTAGGGATGGAGCAAGCACCACTGGATGAGAAGCAGTTGTCACTGTTTTAAAGGCATGTTATGTTTCCTGTATGCATGTATTGTTCTTCTAGAAGTCAAGGCTTAAAAGAAGCTATTAAAATCCAGCCCCACTCTGGTGGAATTTTCTTGAGCTGTCGCACTGTCTCTTGTTCCCTTCCTGAGAATGCCTCCCTTTGTTCCCTTATGTGAATGCCTGCAGTTTAATTATATTTAATAACTGCCTGTTCAAAATCTATTGGTGAGTTACATAATTTTAAACAGATGCAAAGATTATACGATATTTTGAACTCGCCGTAGTATTGTATTGAGATACTGTGATGTTACACCTCTTCACATTCACTGGATACCAAAAGTCCCTCCAACTGTCCCTAGGATCCAAAGACACAGCCCGTATGACCACTCTGAGAGTACAGAGCGCTGATCAGTGCACTTGGCACTCGCTGGTTACAGGGCCTGAAGTGGCTGGCTAGAGTGGGGAACTGAGGCTGGGAGAGCTGAAGAAGGGGTAATAGATGTGTAAAGAAGCCCATTCAGGGGAAAAATAAAACACTGGGGCTCACTGGTTTACAACCAAGCTGTCTCTCTTCCAGGGTGCACACCCTGGAGATCCCTTTGGCAACAGTGAAGTCAGTTCAAGCAAAGCAGACCAGGCAGAGATCTTGACAAGAAAAGTCAACTCTCACCCTGGCGACACAACAGCTGTGACACAGAACTGCACTGAAAGACAGTGACTCGTGGACACTCCCACGCCATCTTCATTTCCAGACAGTAAGTGAGGGATTGCCGCACACACGGCTGCCATGCACAGCACCTGCTGCCCTGCCAGAACCCACTGGGATGCGGCGCAGCCAACGGCTGCTCCTGTGCAGCCTTCTCAAGTCTACTCAGAAAGTCACCTTTCCACTTGATAAGCATCCTTCTCTATCTGGATGCACCACAGCTTTAGATTAGCTACCTACTCCTTGCTAAAAGAATAGCATAAAGCACAGACATGGTACATCACGGTAAACCAGGACACAAAGAGGCCAATACCTCGCCAGAGGTCAAAGGTAAAAGGAATACGCTGACATTTGCATTCTGCAGTTGTCTGAACATCTGTAATGGACACCTGTGCCCATAACCCAAGACTCCAGCTTTACAAATCAGTATCTGACATTCAGAAGCAAGTCATACTGTGCAACCACGGACTCAGCTGGGCAAGAGTCCCAGGTGCTGGGCAGGAGCGGGTGCGCCTCTCCGCCGTGTGCTTCCCTCCCACTACGTTTTAAAGTCAGGACCAAGACCGACGACTGTTTTTACATAGAAACAAGAAAAGGTGAAGAAAGGTCTTACAGGAAAATGTGCACTCTTTGCAAAGATGGGACTCAGCAACTTCTAAACCCAGCTGCCAGTGACGAGCCTGACAAAGGGCTGGGAATGGGGTGGTAAGCGGGACGCCAGGTACAGGGGTGGCGAAGTGGGCAGCGGGGCAGCTAGGACCCTTTTTTGACAGGCAGACAGGTTGGGGGCAGGACCCCCCAGCCTCACACCAGGAGGAACACAAACAAATCAATGTTTAGTTTTTCTTTTTAAACAATGATCTCTGCCTGTCTACTACTGTGATTATAATTAAAACCGTAATTCTTTCCTAACTCACAGGAATGCTGTAATTAGCCTTGATAACTGTCTACTCATCAGACATGGCATCTTCAAAACACATAAATTATTTTCCTTTTGCAGGATTACATATGATAATTTTGCTCAGCCCAGTAGAACATTTTCATAGGTGTTCAGAAATGCAAATCTTACCTCAGAGTTCTCCCGTTAACAGGATACTATTAAGAATAGAAGAGTTGAGAAAACAGACTGACTTGGTTTGAATCTGGAATCTGTGCTGCAGAGGTAATCGCTGTTTATAAAGCAGAAAAGCCCACAGCCACTGGGAAAGCAATGCCCCGCCTGGTCCTGGCTTGGCCCAATGGCGCTGTGCATTGGATTCCCTGGGCCACCAGGAGCAGGAAGTCTGTCTGCACCCAGGCCCTGCCTGGTGCTGTGCGCACACAGCCAAGCAGGAGGTGAGAACTACCAAGTCCACCTGCCAGACAGAAAGCCATGCGCTAGTGAGGGGTCTGTGGAGCTAATGATAAAATCAAATAATTTATGTGGCTACTTGAAAAGGAATCTTTCAGCCCTTAGAAGCATCGGCCCTTGTGACCTGTGTTCCACTGGATTTGTCTGACAACAAGAGGGCAAAGAATTCCGGGGCTCCATTGTCTCTGCTGTGGGATCCAAGAAAATACTGCAGGACTCATCAGAGAGGTTTATGAGCTTGCAGTTCAAAGAGATTAAAAGGGAGCTCTCAGGAGATTCTTTCGCACTGAAGAATAACATTAAATAACTATTAGCAGCGTGGCTCAGTACAGCTTACCAGAGCTCTCGCTGGGTCATTCACCACTTTCTGAAAGGGGAAAGGCTTTTTCAGCTCCATTTGGGAATCAATAAATATTTCTCACTTCTTTCCAGACAATGGAATTCCAGTCTTTTTCAACTTCCTTCTAATGACAGTAAAACTTCTAAAACAGCGCTATTTAATGTCTAAATAATTACAGCTCTAATCCCAGGAAACTTTTTCTCACAGGAGCTACAATTTTAAGAATAAATGAATAGATAACAAAAAGCTAGGAGAGGGGTTTAACTTCACTCATCAGAAGTCTCTTTCATCAGACAGTGGCCCAGAGATCAAGTCCATCTCAGCTCTGACTGCATCATTCATGTGTGCAGTGTCACAGGTGACCACCACTGTCCCTAAGATGCGCTCCTTTAGCAACTGCTCTCCACTTTTCATTTCTGTGCCATTTCAGATGCCTCAGCTCATCTTCTAAGGACACACACGAGTGGAAGTTAGACGCCAGCTATATCCCCCGGTCTAAGACAGTACCCTGACACTTAGAAAGTCAGTCTTAAAGAGGTTGCCACATTCTGCAGTACCCTGCCATGCTACCCAAGGTGCCCCCCTGACGTGCAGCCAGCCAGAATCCTGTCTTCACTGGACAGTGTCATTGGTGTGTCATGGGCAAGGCCCCAGGCACCACACCCTGGCACCTGCAGGCCTTTCCAGGCTCTGCATCAGGCTGCCCTGACCAACGCTGACAGCCGTGTACTTGGGGCCGAGCCAGGAGCCAGCCGTGGGCTCTGGACCCAGGCGACAGCCAGCGGGCAAATGAGGTACCAGGCGAGTCCAGCAATGTGGCTGCATCCCCCTCTCTGTGACCAGGGACAGGATCTGGGAAGCAGGTATCAGTGTTACCCTCACGGTCACTGTGAGAGGGCACATGGCAACAGAGGGCAGGCCTGGAGCTCTGCCTGAGCTCACACCCCTGCTAAGACGCGCCATGCTCCCGCCAGCGCCAGACACCAAAAGCAACCTGCTTGTTACCAGAGTCCTGGCCGCTCTTAAGCATCAAACACAGAACCAACGGTCAGGACTCTGATGCCTCCACAGTAGATCCTGTGGGCCAGGTCAGCAGTGAAGGCCAGGAGGCACAGGCAGAGGGCCCAGGGGTCACTCTGGGTCTGCAAGGGGACAGCACAAAAGCTGCTCACCCTGGGGCACAGCGTGGCCAGGGAGGTTGTCCAGAGCAGCTATGGAGGGAATTGGGGGGTGCGCTGAGGCCAGAATGGGGGCCCACCACACCCCCCAGGTCTCTAGGCTGAGGGCAAGGGGGTGATGACTGCAACCAGCCTGTCCTGCGTTCCCTCAGCCTGGCTCCCCGACTGTGTGCACTGGAGTTACACTGTCAGCTGGCCCACAGGTATCTACTGCGTCTGAAGCCCAATTTTTATTCCAAATCCATGAAAATGACCTTAAAACACAGTCACTACGAAAAGCTACCTGCGTTTACGTCAAAGTAAAATGGTGTGAGAAGAGTCACCCCCCTGACACGCAGGACGAGGCACGTTGCTCACACAGCTTTCTCTCTGCACTTCCCTCGCCCTCACATGCTAACCCAGTCCCCAACTGTCCGCACGGATTTTCTGCCTCGCTTCACATTCTTACTTCCCCCGAAAACAGTCAGCAAACCAAACAGACCTCCTGATGCTTATCTTCAAGTTTTTTACCTGAAGCAAATTTTTACAGCCAATTTTGAAATTCCTAAAAATCAAATGGAAATACTAATATGACCATAAAAGGAAGCCCTAATCTAACTAATCAAGGGTTTTGTAAGGGTCAGCTTTAGGACACAATTTACGTAATTGTCACCTGGCCTAAAGTCACCACTCTTCTCCATATTAACTACATTCAGAAGTATGTCATTTCCCCTTCCTATGGAGTTAATCGACTTTAAGACTCTTCCCAGGGAGGATTCTAATTATGGGCTTAAGTAGTGATACATTGACACAGTGGTGCTGGGTCTTTAAGTGTTGCCTTCTCTTGGCACAGGTTAAGCTCCTCATCCTCTGTGAGCAGGTACTCCCCAAGCACAGATGGGTTGGGTTCCACACCACACCACACCACACCACAGGGAAGACCTGTGGGTCAGCAAAGGCCACTCCCTCCTGCAGGTCCTCTAAGCCCCGGGACCAGTGTGTCGTGGGTGTTGCCGACAAATGGGGGTTCCAGCATCAGCAGGATGACTCAGCCTGTGGAGCCACCGAGAAATGCAGAGATCTGTGTCCACAAACCCCCGGGCCAGTCACCACCTGCGGTGCACCTGTGATGCATGCTGGAGCACGCTGAACACATGAGGAAACTCCCCGTGAGGTTCACAAAGGCACAAATGAACCCAGGGACACTGTGTGTGAAGGTGCTAAGACCCGAGCTTCCCACAGCGCACAGCCCACCCTGCGTAACTACACACTCTTTGGGGGCCTGGCAGCAGCCTTAGAAACAGCAGAGTAAATATGGCAAGGGGACTGATTCAGTTCACCAGTCAGCAGCGCCTTCCAAGTCCTGTTCTCCAAGAGCTGGTATCACACATCACCTCTTCCAGTTGCTTCTCTCTAACCTGACCAGCACTGCCCAAGAGAGAAAAAAATACATGTGTGCTTTAAAAATGCATATATATACATATATATATATATATATATATATATATATATATGTAGGCAACCTGGCCCGGAGTTTTACTCTCTGTTAGAAATAGCCATTTGAGTGTTTCTTCTGAGAAGAAAAGGAATGCGGATGTCAAGTGTTACTTGCAATCACTTCCAGATAATTTCATGGCTACGGGCAGTACTGGAGGGCTGTCTCAGAATGGGCTGAGGGTGCTGTGAGCCCGAACAAGGCTTCAGAGCAGCCAAGAAGTACCACCTGCCTCTGCCCGGTTCACCTGGACAGCCAGCTCCCCGCAGCTAGGAACACACATCCTTCACACCCTCTGAAAGGGACTCTCACAATGAGCCACCAGCATGCGCGAGTTCCCACGACAAAGCTGCCCTCCTCACGTCCGTTCCTGGGGTGACCCAGAAAGAGCGTGTGACTTGGTTACAGCCTCCCCTCCCAGAGCCCGCTGCTCACAGCCCTCGGCAAACCTGCACTGCTACAGGTGCGTTCCCTTCTACTTTGAGCAGCCGTTTATTTAAAATGAGTCACACATGCACACAAAATCAGTACCGTGTTCTACAGAACAACAGGAAAGAGGTTCACTGGGAGATCTCCGAAAGCTGCTCTGGTGAGGATGCCGTCAGCCCTGTGCTTCTGCTTCAGTGAGGTCAGTGAATGCAGAACCCCACTCGGGACCTGGCCAGAGAGGCCGTTTCCACGCCGGCGGTGAGGGCAGTACAGCAGCAGGAGGAGCTGCATTTCTGTGGCCCTCCATGTCTGAATGACTCAGCACCAACCCACCTGAAAACCTGCACAGTGACCTACCTTTCTGAAGTCCGGGCTGTTTCGTCACATCGTGAAGCACTTCGCACTACCTGGGGCACTACCTAGATTTCACTGATCTCATCAATGCCAGCGGTACATGCCTGCAATTCCAGCTACTACTTGAAAGGCAGAGGCAGGAGGATCGAATGTTTCAGGCCAACCTGGGCAACACAGTGAGACCCTGCCTCAAAATAAAACCGAAAAACGTTGGGGACATAAATCAGGTCTGGACCAACCCCCAGGAGAAAGGGAGGAAGACAGCTAGAAGCTGCTCGCTCAGAGGTCACGGGAAATCCTCAGCTCCAGGTCCTTCTTTGCACGTGCTGACTGCAGTGTCTCTTCCCCACTCCCCGGTCCACTCCACTCATCATCTCGGTAGAAAGCCATCTGATGGCCTGCGCTGCTCCCCATCTCTCTGCATGGCAGATCCTCGGCAGCGGGCATGGGCTAAGGAAGCACAGCAGGACGGTGGGGACACCCTATGCCCTGTCAGTGCGGTGGGGACAGTGTCACTGGAGATGGTGCCCTGGAGCCAGCACCTCTGCAAACAGCTCTGGGGGCAGTGGACCGGCTTCACACTTGCAGGGCCGTTGGGGCCACACTCTCGGGGACAGACGTCCTGGGCACCCAGCTTGTTTTAATTTTTTGTGAACCCAGTTTAAAAGAATACATCTCTAGAGTGGGCATTCTCAAAGGACACTGTCACTATGTTCTCATCCCAGAGGAGCAAACACCAAGCAAGGGGCTCTCTCCAAGCTGCAGCTGAGAATCAATGTGAACCCCATACAAGGGACCTTTGGCAGGGTCTTCAAATTTATGTAACAGGGTGCCAGCCTCTCCTGAGAAGTAAAGGGGCCTTAGCTGATTGGTGCTATGAACATGGCACAGCTAACACCAAAGCTGCAGGGCAAGGCGTCACAGCTGACAGAAGCCACACAGGGACTGTGCACGGCCCTGCACAGACCCCAGTGCTGCTCTGTGGTGATCAAATGGAAGCGTCACATTCGCACCCAGCTCCTGGGATGAAGGGGTCCTCCCCGCCTTCCCCCATAGGGAAACTCATGTGACACACCTAACCACATTCCTCCAGGCCTCCTCGCCTGCCTGACACCTGGAAGGGACTGCAGGTGGGCAGCCCTTTCCCGGTGGCTGCACCCAGGGCGGGGCTGAGCACCTAATGGCACTGAGACCCAGCAGCTCCTGTTCAGACTGCTGACCAGAGCTGACCAAGCCAAGCCAAAGGGCAGGCAGTCGCCGTGGAGGTCAGGCCCCACCTACCGTGCCACTGCAGGTCATACTCTTTCTTGGACTCTTCATTCCCCAGGATCTTCCAGGCCTGGTCCACCTCGATGAACCTCTGTCGGTGCTCCTCCAGTGTCTCTGCCGGCGCAGCACAGCTCTGCTTGTCGGGGTGATACTGCCAAGTGAGACCAGAGGGCCAGTGAGGGGTGACCGAGACTGCCAGGGCACGGGATCAACCCCGCAGGTCCACCCCACTGAACAATGAACGCACTCGAGTTCTTGCTCAGCCCCAAGACTATAAAATTACAAAGCCCCAAACACTTTGATTGCAACCTGGTTATTCTAAGCCAGATGTAACAGTTTACAAAACACAAAGAAGCCAGGAACCTATGGAAGAACTTTCTCATGTGAGATTTTTGTTGTTGTTCTTTTTGAAACAGGGCTTCACTATGCAGCTCAGGTTGCCCTTAAACTCACTTTGTAGCCCAGGCCAGCCTTGAACTCACAGCAATCCTCCTGCCTCGGCCTCTCGAATGCTGGGATTACAGGCAAGCGACACCATGCCCAATCTCATGTGAGATTTCTAACTCTAAGAATTTGTCAGTAATGTTTTCAACATGCAGCAATTTCTGTATGGTCCTTGGTGATGAGACTCAAACGTTCTGCACCAACTCAGGAAATCAACTGCTCCGCCAAACCAGCTCTGCTGGACACTTGCGCCCACCCTTCCACAACCCCGGCCTCTTCCCCGTTCACCACTGAGTACCCCTCCCCCTCATAGTTCTTCTGAAAGGCTCAGGAAGTTCCACAGTCAACAGGTGGGAACAGTTAAATTTAGAGATGTGCCACTGAAAACAGTCTGAGTGACAGCGGAGGCTGATTTTCTCACTCTCAAGTAAACAGGAACCTCGTAATGGTGTTTATCTAGAACTTTCCACCAGTGTTTAACGTTTTATCAAACAGTACACAGAACATATTTTAATGTGAAAAGTAAAGTTAGGAATTTCTTTGGAACGTGGAATAGTTTTTCTTTCTTCAAGTTTCTACAATAAAACATGCAAATAGCTGTATGCACATTTCAGGGATGCATCCCGATGCCTGCTCTCGGACTTGGTGATTCCACACACTGCTGCCTAAGCACCAGCAGGGCAGAGGCCTCTGGGAGTGCCACCTGTGCCGGCTTCTACTGTAGGCCTGGGGCCCAGATGAGGAAGTGCCACAAGAGGGGACAACCCAAGTCTTCAGGTGACAACAGGCTCCTACTCCTTCTTAGTAAGCAAGTGCTACCCAGCTGACACAAGGAACACGCTCCTGCCCCTTCTAAGGCACCTTCTAAGACTTTTCCACCCGAGCCAAAAGGGACCACAGACAGGCTCTGCGCTGCAAGGTATGCCTGCAGAAGTGCTGTGGCTCATGTTGTTGTTCCCCAGCATCCAAACCTTATCCAGAAATGCGAATACCAGGAGCTAAACCAATGGGTCCTGAGCCCAGGGGTTCCACCCCACCCCACCCCACACACACACCCAGGGACTGACCCTTGGCAGCAGGTGGGTCCCAGCCCTTTGCCTCACACCTGTTTATTCTTTGCCTTGGGACAGCAAAGCACCAGACACCAGCCTCATGATCTCAGACTTGCAGACTGGAACCGTGAGCCACTAAATTTGTTCGTATAAATTTCCAGTCTCCAGTATCCTATTCAAGTAGCACAAAGAAGACTAACATGGAAGCTGAGACCTAAAATCTTTTCAAAACATAAAACCAGCCCCGTGTTTCTATATCTAGCTGCTGTCTAGTCTTCCTGAGTGTGTTCCTGTCTCATATTGACTGTGTATCACTGCAGAAGGGAGAAAGTCAGCAACAGCAGCTCTTACAGCTCAGCAGAGAAAGCTGGACAATGCTTTTTACTCCCCTTTTGCCAGTGAGTCTTGGAATGGAATCCCACTCCAGGACTGTTCTGCCAAGCTCCAGCATGACCACTGCTGGATTCCCCTGCTCCGCAGTGGACTCACACTACAGACAGCTGGCAATGCCCAACAGCTTAAGGCGCTCAATGACAGCATGCTCAAAATCACAAGGAAGCGTCCTACCAGTTATTTTTATCAGGCCTTTTCGAGGGCCAAATTGCCACTATATTTTGAGGTACTATCACCAAAGATAATAAAATCTCATTTCTTTGGGCCTCTAACAAGCAAGTAAAATGGCGAGAGTAAAGCTGAAAGACTAAATGAATGATTCATCTGTAACCCTGATGACATCTGACAGCCAGAACGCCACCCCAACGTTTTTTCCCAGGAAGACTCATTTTTCATTCACCAAAGTATTAAATTAGGCTTACTAAACTATCTCAAGAAAATCAGTAATTCTTAACCTGTGATAATTTTATAAAACTCAGGAACCTTCTCCCCCCAAGCGTTTATGCATCCCTACTTTCTATCCTCCCAAATAAGGCAAAAAGGGGGGCAGGGGCAAGTTAATGGCCAATAAATTCCGTCAGCTGGCGGCCCTTCCCACACTGGCCTCTGAGTCTCCTTGGATGCACTCAACAGGAGCTAGAGAAAGTCCTAAAGACAGAGGTGCGCAGCCCCCAAGCAATAATGAGCAGCTGGGCACAGCCTGTCTTCTGGGCGTACTGGGCTTGGGAGGCCAGGGTGTGTCTAACTGAGGACGGATCGCATACACAGAGACCCTATGGAGGCTCCGAGGCAGCTTACGTCTGCTCTGTGGCCACAGAGGCCATCAGTACTAATTAGGCCATTTGTCTGCGCGCTCTTTTGTTATTAAGTGATCGCTCTGCCATATTAATGACACCAATGCAGGCGCTGACACCTCAATACGTAAGTGCTCCAGCTGACTGAGGGATCAGGTCCATGCCCACGGCAGAAGCAGTGGGGGTCCTCAGGGAGGGGGTGACTTTCCCACTGTAGGAGATAGACAAGAGAGAGGAAGGGAGGCACTGAAGAATGTGATAAATTCAACAACTATTCCATGTTCAAGATAAGGACCAAGTACGCATCTTAGGATACCAAGCAAACACACATATTCGGAGCTAATATTCGGGTATCCCAATTTGCAAAGCTGTGATTATGAAGCAGCTGCTCCCCAGCTGCTGCAGCAGGGCTGGGGAGCTGTCACTGGTAATTCCCTAGTGAACCTGAGGGCAGTGCAGACAGGCAGGTGACAGGGATGCACTGACTCGAGTGGCAGTGCCATTGGTTCTACAAGGTGTCCATCTGCTTAAAGGAAAGCATGTTACAAAAAGTTAGGTAAAGAGGCTCTACAACACGTGTCCTGTATACTGTAACACCGCGTCAAGATTACAAAAGTTGAAAAACAATTCAAAAGTTGAAAAACAATTCTACAGGTACACTTAAGCATGACACACTACTGCTACCTAATGCTTAGGAAATACTGCCTATAGAGGTAGTTAACAATTCATTTGTTTACCAAGCAATTGACAAAACATAGTATCTTCAATAAGGCGATTTAGACAAAATATTATCCACGTTAAGGCTAGCAACCCAAAAATGTATCCTTCAAAAAATACATTCCTACAACCTAGACACTGTGCCAGCCAGTGAAGCTGTGACGGCTCAAACAAGATGCTGCAGGGAGGAGCCCTCAACCCAAGGGGAAGAGCAGGCACTGTCACAGACCAGCCCAGAGCTCTTCCACTCCTGCAGCCGAGCAAGAGGAGCAAGAGGACTGGCTTCTCGGCGTGCAATGCAGCATCCACAGTGGAAGGGCAGCTTTCAAGGGGCAGGTCCACGGGTGATGCGAAAGTTCTATTTAATCAAATCTCCTCTTGAACTCTTAACATGCTCGTTAAGTACTGAAGCTTCATAAATCACACCTCTGGCATCATGATATGAGATTTGGTCTCTACCACCATTTCGTGGCATGAAGCTCCTAAAACCCTTGGAGTGTCTCGAGTTTGTCTTCTGTGTGCTAGTGAGATGACTAGTGTTGGGACCCCTGGACAGCTTCAGGATGGGGCTGTGCACCAGAGGACTAGACTGGCAGAACCAACATCCCCACCCTCTATGGGTGGGGCAGAGGCACTTAAGGCTGAGATGATCACACAGCCTGGCTGAACAGCAAAGGCTCCATCAAACATCCGAAAGACAAGGTTTGGAGAGCCCCAGGCCAGTGATCAAGAACCCTGCCACCTGCTGGGAGGGTGCTGTGCTCTAAGTCCATGGAAACAGAAGCTCCTGTATTACAGATCCTTCCAAATCTCATGCTATGATCTCTTCATCTGAATGTTTGTTTATATCCTTTAAAATGTCTCTTGCAACAAATGGGTCAGTGTACAGATTTCCTACATCCTGCCTCAAGCAAATTAATTTAAATTCGGGAGGGTCTGTGACAAAGCCCACCCAGAGCCAGTTCATCAGAGGCACAAGTCAAAATGTGAGGTCTGCAGTGACAGAGGCGGTGGTGGCAGTGCAGAGCTTTACCTGTGGGAGCTGACACTCCGCCCCACAGGTCAGCTCTAAATGGTCAGCTTTCCTCGTAGTAGGAATGCACCTGACATCTAAAATGTAAGGGAGGAAAGGTTCATTTTGGCTTCCAGTTTCTGAGGTCCAGTCTATGGCTGGCAGGTTGCAGAAACATCATGGCAGAAGGGCTCAGTGGGGCAAAGCTGCTCACTCTGTGGTGGCCTAGAAGCAAACACGGCAACAGTACAGTCATGGAGGGATCAAGGATGACATATGCTTCCAAGGTCACACCTCTGTGGCCCACCCATGCACACCCAGAAGCTTGCTTTACCAATTCCCTGGGCAGCCTCAAACCAATCAAGTTAACAACCCAGTTTAACTGTCACTTTCCACCCCTTGTCACCCAAATATGTCTCTGTAAGCCACATTTACCTCCAGTAAACACAACATCGTAATTTCACCTTATGGAACTGTATCATGCTCAACTGAAAACATACATACCCTTCCCCAACCCTCAGCAATTCCAGCATTGCCCAAAAGTCCGAAACTCTGTCTCAAAACAAAAAATAAAAATGGGCTGAGGATGTAGCTCAGCATGAAGGGACAGGGTTCAATCCCCAGTACCAAACACATACACAAAAAGACTCAAGAGTCCATGTGGCCTTGGAGACTCGGGGCAAACTCTTAATTGTGAACGCCTATAAATTTTTTAAAGGAAGATGCATATTTCCAATTT